GGTGTTTCAAACAAAAAAGATGTGTTTTCATGTCCAGTTTTAATTTTATCTCCCACCAATTCTTTTTTATGCATTTTAAATTATTTTCTTCTTCACTGAACTGTTTCATAAAAGAGCTGATCGCAACCTTTCCGGTATTTCCATATTCTGTTTACCTAGATATCGGGATTATGGCATTATAAACCTGCAGGACTTGTGTTTTCATTTAAATGTCAAAATAGAGTTGTGGGGTAATTGGAAAGTTATCACTAAGAAAACAAAAGGTCAAAGCTGTATTATTATACTTAAATAGAAAAATAGAATTCAGATGAAGATCACGGAATCAATAATAAATTTACATTTGGTACTAAACGGTGCAAACTTATACACAAAGGTTTGAGCGTGTCGCGCGCTGTTTTTGTTAAAATCAAAGGGTGGGTTAAAATTTCTCTCCCTTTCTGTCTTGTCAGACAATTTTGTCTGAAGGCAGGTAATTTATATGTTCCATACATTTACTAATCATAAGTTTGTCTTAGGATTCTCTCGACAGATGTTTCTGCAAGTCGAGTACCTATTTGCAGTCGTCTTGTTCTCGGCAGCAAAGACAGCTGAAGGAGCCGAAAATGGCGTTTTCTTTCAAATCAAAGAAAATACTTTTTTCAGCTACAGAGAAGAAAGCCTCTTTTGGTCTGGAGAAACTGATTCTTTGCTTTCCTGTTCGGTTTTGTGTGCGAGACAAGCTTCGTGCAGAAGTGCAAACTTTCTGGAAAACCCAGGACTTTGTTATCTTCTTGGCGGCGAAATGCAAACAAGTTCAGCAACTGAGCGGCTTTTTCAGCGAGATGGCTCTTTCTATCTAACAAAGGTATTTGGCATTAATGACATGCCATGTTTTTTGGTGACACCATCCGATAATGTACACCTTATCACGAACAAGTTCGTACTAGCAGAAAAAACTAGAATTGTACCGTTAAAATAAAAGGACAAATTTTTGTTTCGTCTGCTACATCCGCACTAAAAATTTTAAAGCCGTCAAATTCCGTCAGCGGCCGATCTATTCATAAGACCAGCCAGCATAGTTTGCCAAGGGGTTTCACCCCCAATCCGCGCTTGTAAAATGTTTATGATGATTGAAAATTTGTCAAAATAAACAATTTTTTCGCTAGTGCGGAATGGCCATAATCCTCTTTCTTAGCTGCAGTACTGAGATTTTTTGACAACGATAAGGATAACTACTACGATCATTTCATAAAACAAGAACACCGCAAACTTTTTGACTTAGCTCATCAGATCTACGTAAGAGACTTGGTCGGACGTTTAAAGTAATTTGCGCTTTAGCAGGAAAAAAGCTGAAACATGAGAGGACATTTGTGGAGGGACGTGAATGAATTGAGATGAGACCTTATAAGAAATGTTAAGACGACAAGGCCCACAGAAGCTCGTCTTAGCATCAAGATCATAATTTAAAACTTTATGAAACGTTCAGTTTTAAGCAGAAGCCACCAACAACTGAAATAAGACCACAGTCGCCCGGTGAACCTTCAACAATTTCGTACATATGCGCATGACACAAAGTACGGATACTAACTATAAATGTCTTGTTTAACTCCAATTCAGGTCCACCATCCAGAAAGAGCTGAATCACCCCGAGGTGAGAGTTATGAATTCAGTATTATTAACATAAGCAACCCGAGCGCTAATGTAAATTATATACCCATAGCTATTGGATAAATCTTGATGCACCAAGATAAACTTGGATCTTTTGTATTTTCAATTTCTTCATTTCCACCACGTTTTGGTGTCTTCCAAGTTCTTCCCCTCTTCCATTATCCTTCCTGGCCTATTGCTACCAGTTTTAGTTGTTTTTGTTTTGCACTGAATACTTTTTCCTTATTTTCTATCGTCATTAAAAAAAAACACAAAAATTGGGACACTTACACAGCTACTTAGAAAGGTTTCGAATGTCCCAGTGGTCGTACGTTCACCTATTTGATCATTTATTTACGAGGTTAATAGTGAGGAAATGATTGAGTTTGAATCCTAATTGTCTGAGACAGCTCAACGGAATTAAAAAAAATAAAAAATAGGAAAGAAAAAATCCAAGTTAGAACGCATGCCAAGAAACATTGGGCCGGTGTTTAAGTCTAGATCCTTTTAACTTGTTCAGTAACATAATATTGGTTCTTGTTTGATGCTCGTAACTGAATTTAGGTCGCCGGCACTATTTTCCCTTACAAGGCTTTAGCACACGCAAAAGATACTTTACTAGACTCACTTTCAATTTTCTACTTTATGGCTATAGAGCAAAACACTTCTCTACCCGCTGGTTCTAACCAGCACTCAGCAGTAACCTCGTGCCAGACTCTCCTCAAACAGTCTCCCGCAACGTCCACGGGTGTTTATTGGATCGATCCTGATGGTGGATCCCAGGCCAACGCTTTCAAGGCTTACTGTGACATGGATACGAATGGAGGGGGCTGGACATTAGTATGGAGCTATTCCTTTACTAACTACAGTCATTTTAACGATGATTCAAATGCGATCACTCCTAGGCCAAATTGGCCGGTCAAAAATGAAGGGAATGTTCCAATCTCCACAATTTCTCCATTAAATGAAACAGACTACAATGCCATGAACTTCTCACTCTGGAAAAAACTCGGTAGACAGATCCTCATCAAGAGCAACATAAACAACTGGCTGGTGTGTCAACCGGTAACTGGCAGCCTGGTTGATTGGCAGAAAGGTGACATCAACTGTACAATCACAAAATACGTGGCTGACCCTGGAGAATCAGCTTCGGCGCCTTCCAAGTTTTCACCATATATCAGCTATGGACCAATGTTCCATTCGAGTGGGCGCTGGAACAGCTCCTTTTATTATTTTAATAGTTACACGGGCAAATATTGGCCTACCCATGATCCTAGTGGAAAAAATAGGCCAAACCAAAAGAAAAATGTTCTTGATCCACACGGTAACATTTATATTCGAGCCGAGTAGCAAAGACAGGCAATGAGAAATCTTTACGCACGTATCTTCTTGAGCTGGTTAACTTATCTGCACAAAATCATTACATTACCTAGAAAAAGTGTGACGAGAATCATCTAGAGGACCTTGAGGGTATTAAACTGATAAACTCTAAATTCTTCTATCGTAATTACTGAGAAAACGTCATCAGAAGCGAAAACTTTGGATCAGATTTTGGAGGTTGAAGGTTCAAGCTTGGTTTACTCTCGTAAGTTGACAGCAAGCAAAACACCAGTTACGCTCATCATGTGAGGTCGGGGGATTATCTTTCAGAATTTTACTTTCCCATGGAACTTTCGATAATTCAAATCACTTCGCGAAACTTTGACTTGATTAGGTGCTAGTTTCTTCTTTGCTGTTGACTACTTTTACCGCTGATGTTTACAAAACTCGTACCAACCACTAAACCAGATAGCGCAATCAGCTAGAGCAATTTTTAGAATAAAATGAATAAATAAGATTCACTTAAGGAAGCCTGGATCAATTACCCCATTAAGTAATTGTCGCCACGGTTTTTTTTTATATTTCCATGGAAAGGCCAGGAGTAATGAGTAATGAGTAACGGGTTGAGTAAGGAGCATTAATTAATAGTAAAAACATATAACGAAGTTTGAAAATGCTGTTCTGCGTGGAAAATTAGTTTGTCTTTCAGGCTAATTACCTTCGAAATGCTAATAAAAACAACTTGTATTCCATGTTAAGACCATAGTGTGGTGCGTTTTTCTTGATGATGAAAATGCTCTTCAAAGTGAAAAGGCTGACTCTATATTGACCTGTGCTCGAATGTGTAGGAGAGAAGCTGCTTGTAAAGAAGCAAATTTCTTGGCGAACAAAACCACCCATTCGCTTTTTGACGAATGACAACAGGCAAGGAAGGTGGAAAGATGTGTAAAACAGGATGGTTCTTTCTATATAGAAAAGGTATTTCTGGAATTTTGTAGATTTTACAGATTAATGTAAGTTGTGTTACCATTTCTTTCTTTACTCCGTGCGATTACAAAGGAGTGGAGTGAGGGCCGGATGTTTTGGGTAGTTTTATGCAATGGCAATTTTTTATACAACTTGTTCATGTTTCAATTTACTTTTCACTGTCCTTTTCACTAAGTAGGAAATAAAATTTTTCTCATGTCCGTGATGTCACAGAGCCGCTGTAACCTGATCAATAAAAGATCCGTAAAAGGTGGGAGTCGGCATGTTTTATCGAGTCCGTTTTGTAATTATGTTTATTTTACATTTGTATCAATACATTTTCAAGTTTCGGTTGCCTCAAAAAATACTTCTCTTTTCATGTTGTGCCCGTGTACTCTAAATCAGATTACTTAAAATGACTCTGGGACAATTTTCTAACTATTGACTAAAACATTAGAGAACGGCAGAAAAGAAAAGGTGATTAAATTGAAGTTTAAAAATGAATATCTTTAAGACAAAAAACCCCTTCCCTCAGCTTTTACAGTCATTAAACAGAAAACTCAAATCTTAAGTTGATGAGGATCAGGTAACCAGGGCAAACATTTTGAAAAAGTGATCAGAGACAAGACTTCTTTTTGTTCGTCTTTTTAATCGAAAGTGAATACCTACTTTTTTTCAAATAAATGTACAAATTTAAGTGTAGCTTGCAAACTATGAATATGAGTGAAAGTTTCTTACTCACGCGAAAGGCTGCCTGTTTTTGGCTCACTTAATAAGTTGCCTTTCAAGGAGTCTCTAGTCCACAAGGTATGTGATTTTTTTTACAGCAAATTTGTCCTCGCACAAAGCTCAGTTCATGGTGGCTCACACTGAATTTCGTCATTTTTAAGTCACCAACTCCTCAAATGAATGATACTGCCACACCTTTTGGCGTGGTCGGTAGAATGTGTTTTCAAAAAATACCTATTCCGTCTTTAAATGTCACATTTAACACAACAGCCATACAAAAACAACTTTTTTTTTAGGTTTATGTGCCTGTAACTTAAAGCAGATGTCGGTAACCATATTCTTTGATCATAAGAAAGACCATGCCTGCACCCCGTGGCTTAACCCAGCATTCAGCAGTCCCATCATGCAAGACTCTCCTCGACCAATCTCCCCCTCCCTCCACGGGTATTTATTGGATTGATCCTGATGGTGTGTCTCAGTCCAACGCTTTCAAGGTTTATTGTGACATGGAGACCAGTGGTGGAGGTTGGACTCTAGTATGGAGTTATTCCTTCACTAATTACAGTCACTTTAATGATAGTTCAAATGCGATCTCACCAAGACCAAACTGGGATGTTTGGCTTGATGGGTATATGCATGTTCCTATCTCCACAACTCCTCCATCAAATGAAACAGACTGCAACGCTGTGAACTTCTCACTCTGGAAAAAATTCGGCAGACAGATCCTCATCAAGAGCAACATAAACAACTGGCTAATGTGTCATCCGGGAAATGGCAGCTTGGTGGATTGGCAGTACGGTGACATCAACTGCACGATCATTAAACACGTGACCAACACGTGCAAAGATACACCAGCTCCTTCCTTTTTTGGCAGTGGATTAGGCTCTGGACCAATGTTCTTTATCCACGCGTACGGCCTTTATTATTATTTCGATACTCTCACGGAGTATGACTGGCCTGTCCATGATCCATGTGGACAACACGCGCCCAACCAGTTGAATGGCGTCGCCGAGCCTCATGGGAACATTTTCATCCGTTAGTTAATGAACATTTATTGGTCACCGATGTGTAACTTTTCCCGTCAGGGAAGAGTCAGGAAGAGTATGAAGAATATACCTGAACCTCGTCAGTAAATATTTTCCGAAAAACCGCCGGTACGGCAAAATTTTCAACAAAAACAACATGAAAGTTAGTTATAGCTGCACAGACAACCTACAAACTATAATTAAGAAGCACAACAGAAAAATCCTCGAAACAAGCAAGACACCCTCCACGGAAAACAAATGCAGGAAAAAAAACGACTGCCCTCTGAAAAACAACTGCCTCACTCCAAGCGTCGTTTACAACGCCAACGTAACAACAGAAAATGACACAACCGGAAATAATTACATTGGACTTACTGAAGGAACTTTTAAACAACGTTACACGCAACACAAACTTTCTTTTCGGAACAGAAACTATTCAAACAGCACGGAACTATCAAAGTATATCTGGACACTCAAAGACAGCAACACCAATTTCACAATAAACTGGAGTATTTTAGCGACCGACCCGGCCTACAGCAACAAAAGCAAACGGTGCCACTTGTGCCTCACAGAAAAACTTTATTTAGTTAGAGCTAAGAAACCGTCTTTATTAAACAAAAGAACAGAACTCATTTCTAAGTGCCGCCACGAGAATAAGTTTTACTTAGCAAATTTCACAAGCCGCCAACGATAGCTCTATAGAATCTTTATTTCACACGTAGATCAGATCATCTCACTAGTGAATTAATTAGCTACTCATCTAATTTGTATATAAGGAGGTATGTTCTTCATTGAATAAAGTTCTGTCTGACGAGCGCTTAGGCGCGAAACTCAGAGTAACAGAGAATCGATGCGTCCTCTTTGATTCTTTCACTTATATATACCCAGCTCTGCTGCCACAGCATTGAGCACTTTATGCCAAGGTAGACTCTACCCCCATATTTATTTATATATCTATATTTCTTTGACTTTGCAAATGATTAAATTTTTGGTATCTCGACTGCTTACTGCAGCCTTTCCGGTATTTTCATATTCTGTTTACCTAGTAGTCATGATAATTGCATTATAAACCTGCAAGACTTGTGCTTTCTTTGTTAAAATGTTGAACAGAATTTCGGATTAATTTAAAACGTATTGTTGAAAAAACAAAACGTCAAAGCTGCCTTGCTCTACTCAAATAGAAAAACGCAGTTTCAAACGAAGATCATGGAAAAAAGTAAGCAGGTCTTACTTTTAATTTGATAGTTGCTCTGGAGATTATTGGCTTACACGTGATCCTTATGGAAGAGTCGAGCCCAACCAAGTGAACTGATGATTGTCCGAACTTGACAACATTATCGAACATGTATTACTATATGTAATAAATTTAATAAATAAAAGGAAAAATATAAGTTTGAAAGGACTGGTAACAAATTACATATTAAATCATCTCTACAAATACAGGCCTTACTTTTTCATTTGCACTCAAGGTGTTTCAAACAAAAAGGACGTGTTTTCATGTCCAGTTTTAATTTTATCTCCCACCAATTCTTTTTATTTTTAAGTTTGCATTTTAATTTGTTTTCTTCACTGAACTGTTACATAAAAGAGCTTATTGCAACCTTTCCGGTATTTCCATATTCTGTTTGCCTAGAAGTCGTAATAATTGCATTATAAACCTGTAGGACTTGTGTTTTTCATTTAAATGTCAAAATAGAGTCATGGAGTAATTGGAAACGTATTGCTAAGAAAACAAAAGGTCCAAACTGTATTATTACACAAAAATAGGAAAATAGACTTTCAAACGAAGATCACGGAATCAATGAATTTACAATTGGTTCTAACAGTGCAAACTTATTCACAAAGGTTTGCGTTTGTCGCGCGGTGTTTTCCCCTAAAATCAAAGGGTGGGTTCAAACTTCTCTCTCTTTCTGTCTTGTCTGACTATTTTGCCTATAAGCAGGTAATTTATATGATCCCTACATTTACCAATTATAAGTTTCTCTTGAGATTTTCTCGACAGATGTTTCTACAAGTCGAGTACCTGCATTCGTCCTGTTCTTGGCGGCAAAAAGAACTGAAGGAGCCGAACATGGCGTTTTCTTTCAAATCAAGGAAAACACGTTTTTTAGCTACAGAGAAAAAAGCCTCTTTTGGTCTGGAAAAACTAATTATTTGCTTTCCTGTTCGGTTTTGTGTGCGAGACAAGCTTCGTGCAGAAGTGCAAACTTTCTGGAAAACCCAGGACTTTGTTACCTTTTTCGCAGGGAAATGCAAACAAGTTCAGCAGCTGGGCGGCTTCTACAGCGAGATAGCTCTTTCTATCTAACAAAGGTATTTGGCATTGATGAAATGCCATGTTTTTTGGTGACACCTTCCGATAATGTACATCTTATCACGAGCAAGTTTAAGGGCCTTCCCGCACTGGCAGACAAAACTAGAACTGTCCCGTTAAAATAAAAGGACAAATTTTGTCGTGACAAATTCTTGTTTCGTCTGTTGCATCCGCATTAAAAATGTTGAAGCCGTCAAATCCCGTCAACGCCCGATCTATTTATAAGACCAGCCAGCATAGTTTCTCCAAGGATTTCACCTCCAATTCGCAGTTGTAAAATGTTTATGATTATAGAAATTGTCAAAATAAACATTTTTTTCACTAGTGCGGAATGGTCCTAATTCTCTTTGCTAGCTGCAGTACGAGGGAGAATGTTTGACAGCGATAAAGATAACTGTTACGATCATTTCATGAAACAAAAACTCTGCAATTTTTTTTATTCTGTCAGCTCATCAAATCTACGTAAGAGACTCGATCGGGCGTTTAAAGTAATTTGCGCTTTAGCAGGAAAAAAGCTGATACACGAGAGGGTATTTGTGGAGTGACGTGAATGGATTGAGATGAGACCTTATTAAAAAAGTTAAGACGACACGACCCATAGAAGCTCGTCTTAACATCAACATCATAATTCAAAAGCATATGAAACGTTCGTTTATAGGCAGAAGCCACCAGCAAGTAAGACCACAGTTGCCCAAAGAGCCTTCAACAATTTCATACACATGCGCATGACGCGAAGTACGGGTACTAACTGAATGTCTTGTTTAACTCCAATTCAGGTCGACCTGACTAGCTAACCCCAAGGTGAAAGTTACGCTTATGAAAATTATTACATATATCTAATAGATAAATATTGATGCACCAACTGATAAACTTGAATTTTCAAGTTCTTCATTTTTACCACGTTTCGGTGTCATCCATCCTCTGCCCCTCTTCAATTATCCTTCCTGGCCTATTGCTGCCAATTTTAGGTTTCTGAATACTTTTACCTAATTTTCGATTGTCATTAAAATAAGACACAAAGAAATATAGCTAAGTAGAATGGTTTCGAATGTCCTCGTGGTCGTATGTTGACCGAAAAAATCATTTATTTACATGGTTAATAGTGCAGAAATGATTGAGTTTATCTGAGACAGCTGAACGGAATTATGAAAAAAGAAGGAAAAAAAAACCAAGTTAGAGCGCATGTCAGGAAACGTTGGCCCGGTGTTAAAGTTAATATCGTTTTAAACTGGTCAGTAACATAATATTGGTTCTTTGTTTGATGATCGTAACTAAATTTAGGTCGCCAGCTCCAATAGAGGATAATTTACTAGACTCGCTTTCAATGATGAAATTATTTTTCTAATTTTCAATTTCATTATTGTAGACCAAAACACTTCTTCAACCCCTGGTTCTAACCAGCACTCAGCCGTAACCTCGTGCCAGACTCTCCTCAAACAATCTCCCGCTACGTCCACGGGTGTTTATTGGATCGATCCTGATGGTGGATCCCGGGCCAACGCTTTCAAAGCTTACTGTGACATGGATACTGATGGAGGGGGCTGGACATTAGTATGGAGCTATTCCTTTACTAACTACAGTCACTTTAAAGATGATTCAAATGCGATCACTTCAACACCAAATTGGCTGGTTACGAATGGGGTGAATGTTCCTATCTCCACAATTTCTCCATTAAATGAAACAGACTACAACGCCATGAACTTCTCACTCTGGAAACAGCTTGGTAGACAGTTCCTCATCAAGAGCAACATAAACAACTGGCTGGTGTGTCATCCGGGAGATGGCAGCCTGGTTGATTGGCAGAAAGGTGACGTCAACTGTACAATCACCAAATACGTGGCTGACCCTAGTGAATCAGCTTCGGCGCCTTCCAAGTTTTTACCAAACACCAACTATGGACCAATGTTCTATTCGAGTGGGCGCTGGAATAGCACCTTTTATTATTTTAATAGTTACACGGGCAAAGGTTGGCCTACCCATGATCCTCTGGGAAGACATAAGCCCAACAGTTAAAATTAAAAATCTCAATGTAAATTAAAAAATTAAAAATCTCAATGTAAGAAAGTCGTATGGGTGGGATGTGACAGCACCACCAAAACTCTTTAAGGGAGTGGCTGAAGGAATTGCACCATCCCTGACTAGACTTTACAATAACTGTATTGACTTAGGCGAGTGGCCGTCTGAATGGAAGAAAGGCGAATGGACCCCTGTATTTAAAAAGGGAGACAGACAAGACAAATTGAACTATCGTCCAATCACTTCACTTATATGTGTGGACAAGATTTTTGAACACTTACTCAGCAAACAAGTGACCAGACATTATGACCCTGCTCTGTACCACAGGATGACAGCTTATAGAAAACAACACAGCTGTGAGACAACCCTGCTGATGTTGATTGAAGACTGGAGGTCTGCAGTGGACAGAAAAGAGCTGGTAACAATATTATCTGCTGACATGAGTAAAGCATTTGACTCGTTAAGCTATTCACTCACTCTAAAAAAGCTGGATGCCTACGGTTTTAATAGCAGTTCACTTGAACTGATTAGATCATTTTTTGATAGCAGGCTAAACAGAGTAAAAATAAATGGCCACACGAGTGAATGGAGAATTATGGAACGTGGTTGTCCTCAGGGATCGTCATTTGGCCCTCTCCTCTGGAACATGTTCCAAAATGATATGGCATTTCATATCCCTGACTCAAACCTTACGCTCTATGCTGATGACCACCAATTATATGTGACAGGAAAAACCTATGAAGAAGTTGAATCTACTCTAGTGACTCAGGGTCAACAAGCACTGTTATGGTATAGGGACAACTTCCTCTTGGCAAATCCAGATAAGTTTCAGTCTCTTACGATTAACCCAAGAAACATAGATGCAGATAAGAAGGGCAGCGTTCTCACCATCGCCAATGACGAGATCATGAAAATTGAACAAATCAAGCTATTAGGAGTAAATATAGACAAGAACCTTAACTTTACACAACACATTAGCGAAATATGCACTAAAGCCAGCCAGAAAGTAGGAGTCCTCATGCGCTTGCGCAACCTAATACCATGCCAAGCTAAGCTCATACTGTATAAAACAGCTATAATGCCACATTTAACATACTGTCATTTAGTCTGGAACTTTTGTAAATCTTCAGATGGGAAAAATCGAACGCATCCAAGAGCGAGCTCTGCGTGCGGTCTTCAAAACAACAACAGAGACATATGAGGAACTTCTTAAGCGTGCTAAGTTACCTACGCTTCATAATAGACGCTTACAGGACATAGCAATACTAATGTATAAAGTAAAGAACGATCTAGTACCTAGCTACATATCTGAGATATTTACTCGAAAGGGTACTCGTTATAACCTTAGGAATAGTGACTTTGAAATACCACGATTTAACACTATACGCTATGGTAAACACACACTTAGGTATCAAGGACCATATATCTGGTCCAAATTAGAAAATGGTATGCGTGAACTACCAAGCCTTAGCATCTTTAAAACTAAAATCCGTAGAGTTGACCTGGTCAGCCTAGTGGAAGACAGTGGCAACTGCTGCAATCTTTGCAGCACGTGATTTTTTTAATTATCTGCATTGTACAAGTATTTTTATGTTATCTGAACATTGTTAATATTTCTAAATATTTTTAAATTTTAATGCATAGTTTATCGGCTATATTGTTACTTATTATGATACTGTACATAGTTTTTTATTAATTTTGTAATAGTAGGTGTCCCCAATTAGCTCTATGAGCTAAATAAATTGACACGGTAATAAAGATTTTATTATTATTATTATTATTATTATTATTATTATTATTATTATTAACAAAAGAAAAATGTTCTTGATCCACATGGTAACATTTTCATTCGAGCCAAGTAGGAAAGACAGACAAGGACAAACCTTTACACACGTATCTTCCAGAGCTGGTTAACTTATCTACACAAAATCATTGCATTACCTAGAAAAAATGTGACAACAATCATCTGGAGGACCTAGAGGGTCTTAAACTGATAGAGCTCTAAATTATTCTATAGTATTTACTGAGAAAAACCCCACCAGAATCCGAAGGGAAAATTTAGGATCAGATTTTGGAGACTGAAGGTTCAAGTTTGGTTAACTCTCGTAAGATGAGAACAAGCAAAGCACCAGTTACACTCATCATGTGAAGTCGAGGGATTATCTTTCAGAATTTTGCTTTCCAATGGAGTTTTAAAGAAAAAAATCACTTCGCAAACTTTGACTTAATGAGGCGCTAGTCACTATTCAGTAGACTTCGTAAATTTTTTTAAAATTTGTTTTTGTATAACAAATTTTAAGTTCTTGATGTTTTTAACAATGACTGCTTTTACCGATACTGTTCACAAAACTGGTGCCAGCTACTAAACTAGATAGTTGCAATCAGCTAGAGCAATTTTTAGAATGAAATGAATAAATAAGATTCACTTAAGGAAGCCTGGATCAATCACCACACTACATAATTGACGTCACAGGTTTTTCTATATGTTTGCATGGAAAGGCGCAAAATTAGGGGTTTAATAACAAGCATTACTTAATAGTAAAAATATTTTTTATCGATTCCGTTTTGTAATTATGATTATTTTACATTTGTAAAAATACATTTTCAAGTTTCGGTTGCCTCAAAAAATACTTCTCTTTTCATGTTGTGCCCGTCTACTCTGAATCAGACTACTTTAAATGACCCTTGGACAATTTTCCAACTATTGACTAAAAAAATGAGACGAGAGAACGGCAGAAAAGAAAAGGTGATAAAATTGAATTTAAAAATGAATATCTTTAAGAAAAAAAAACCCTACCCTCAGATTTTACAGTCACTAAATAGAAATCTCAAACTCAGTCCAACGCTTTAAAGGCTTATTGTGACATGGAGACCAGTGGTGGGGTTAGACTCTAGTACTTAGTTATGCCTTGACTAATTACAGTCACTTTCGTAATCGTTCAAATGCGATCACTCCAAGAGCAAACCGGCCTATTTGGTTTGATAGTTAAATGCATGTTCCTGTCTCCACAACTCCTTCATTAAATGAAACAGACTACAACGCCGTGAACTTCTCACTCTGGAAAAAACTTGGCAGACAGATTCTCATCAAGAGCAACATAAACAATTGGCTGGTGCGTGATCCGGGAAATGGCAGCTTGGTAGATTGGCAGGATGGTGACATCAACTGTATGATCATTAAATACGTGACTAACACGTGCAAAGAGACACCAGCAACTTCATTTTTTGAACCGATATTCTTTATCCACAGTCGTTATTATCATTTCGATACTCTTACAGAGTATGACTGGCCTGTCCATGATCCATGTGGAAAAGGTGAGCTCAACCAGTTGAACGGCGTCGCTGAGCCTCATGGGAACATTTTCATCCGTTAGTTGATGGACATTAATTGTTCACCGATGTGTAACTTTTCCCGTCAGTGGTGAACGAAATCTCTGAATAAACTCACGAAAGATTTTGCACTTTCTCAGAGTCAAATAATTCTTTAACGAAGTTCAGAACCCTTCGTCATCGAAACGTCAGCTTTTAAAGTCTTTACTGTGGCCAATTTACGCCAGTTATCAACTCAGTTGATAGTACCAAATTACATAAACAACTGGCTGGTGTGTCATCCAGGACCTGGCAGCTTGGTTTTGGCGGGAAGGTGACATCAACTGATCGATCATCAAACACGTGACTGACCCAAGTCATGAGTTGGTCCCATCCAAGTTTTCACCGAATCAAAACAATGGCTATGGGCCGCTGCTTTGCACGACTAATAAATATTAAATAAATATTATTTTGATAATCACACTGAAAACCATAAGCCTGCCCAAAAGACCAAAAGAAAAATGCTGCAAATCCACATGGTAACATTTTCATTCGAGTCGAGTAGGAAAGACAAACTCTGACAAATTTCTACTCAAATAACTTCCAGAAGTAATTAACTTCTCCTAACAATATCAATACCATATCCACCAGAAAGGTTGTGAAAATGAACGAATTTATCAGCAAAAGGGTATCATTTTGATATTTCAGGTTGTTCTTTTGACTACTTTACTGTACAAGAGCATAGAAGCCAAAGGTGAGAAATCCGAATCACATCTTGGACGCTGGAGTGATGGGATGATGGCTCCATATTTGCCAAAGGAATTTTTATGCAAAGTTACTTTTTTTATTTTACTACTTTAAAATTTCACCCAACAAATCCCAAGGCTATGAACCGCTATTCTCTTGGAGCATGCGCTGAAGTAGGTCTTGCTATTAATTTGACAGTTGCTCTGGAGATCATTAGCTTACACGTAATCTTAGTGGAAGAGTCGAGCCCAACCAAGTGAAAATGATTGTTCAATCTTGAAAAAATGGTCAAACATGTATTACTTTATGTAAAAAATGTAAGAAATAAAAGGAAAAATATCAGCTTGAAAGGACTGGTTAACAAATAGCATATTAAATAATCTCTACAAATACAGGCCTTACCTTTCCATTTGTACTAAAAAAAGTAATTTTTCCTTGCCAGGTGTTTCAAACAAAAAAAGATGTGTTTTCATGTCCAGCTTTAATTTTATCTCCCACCAATTCTTTCTATTTTTAACTTTGCATTTTAAATTATTTTCTTCTTCACCGAACAGTTTCATACAAGAGCTTATCGCAATCTTTCCGGTATTTCCATATTCTGTTTACCTAGAAGCCGTGATAATTGCATTATAAACCTGCAAGACTTGTGTTTTCATTTAAATGTAAAAACAGAGTTGTGGGGTAATTGGAAACGTATCGCTAAGAAAACAAAAGATCAAAGCTATTAATTATACTTAAATAGAAAAATAGAATTCAGACGGAGATCACGGAATCAATAAATTTACAGTTGGTACTAACGGTGCAAACTTATTCACAAAGGTTTGAGCGTGTCGCACGGTGTTTTCGATTAAAATCAAAGGGTGAGTTAAAATTTCTCTTCCTTTCTGTCTTGTCAGACTATTTTGTCTATAGGCAGGTAACTTATATTTTCCATACATTTACTAATCATAAGTTTGTCCCAAGATTCTCTCGACATATGTTTCCGCAAGTCGAGTACCTATTTGCAGTCGTCTTGTTCTCGGCGGCAAAGACAACTGAAGGAGCCGAAAATGGCGTTTTCTTTCAAATCAAAGAAAACACTTTTTTCAGCTACAGAGACAAAAGCCTCTTTTGGTCTGGAAAAACTGATTCTTTGCTTTCCTGTTCGGTTTTGTGTGCGAGACAAGCTTCGTGCAGAAGTGCAAACTTTCTGGAAAACCCAGGACTCTGTTACCTTCTTCGCGGCGAAATGCAAACAAGTTCAGCAACTGGGCGGCTTTTACAGCGAGATGGCTCTTTCTATCTAACAAAGGTATTTGGCATTGATGACATACCATGTTTTTTGGTGACACCTTCCGATACTGTACACCTTATCACGAACAAGTGTAAGGGCCTTCCCGCACGGGCAGACAAAACTAGAATTGCCCGGTTAAAATAAAAGGACAAATTTTGTCATGACAAAGTTTTGTTTCGTCTGTTGCATCCGCATTAAAAATTTAAAGCTGTCAAATTCCGTCAGCGGCCGATCTATTCATAAGACCAGCCAGCATAGTTTGCCATAGGTTTCACGCCCAACCGGCGCTTGTAAAATGTGTATGATGATTGAAAATTTGTCAAAATAAACAACTTTTTGGCTAGTGCGGAATGGCGATAGTTTTCTTTCCTAGCTGCAGTACGAAGGACAATTTTTGACAGCGATAAAGATAACTTCTACGATCATTTCACGAAACAAAAACTCCGCAAACTTTTTGATTTAGCTCATCAGATCTACGTAAGAGACTTGATCGGGCGTTTAAGGTAATTTGCGCTTTAGCAGGAAAAAAGCTGAAACATGAGAGGACATTTGTGGAGGGACGTGAATGAATTGAGATGAGACCTTATTAGAAAAGTTAAGACGACAAGACCCACAGAAGTTCGTCTTAACATCAAGATCATAATTTAAAACTTTATGAATCGTTCAGTTATAAGCAGAAGCCAACAAAAATTGAAATAAGACCACAGTCGCCCGGTGTGCCTTCAACCGTTTCGTATACATGCACATGACACGAAGCACGGAAACTAAATATAAATGTCTTGTTTAACTCCAATTTAGGTCGACCTTCCAGAAAGAACCGATTCGCCCCGAGGTGAGAGTTAGGAATTCAGTATTATTAAGATCAGTAACCCGAGCGCTAATGTCAATTACTGCCCACAGCTATTGGATAAATCTCGATGCACCAAGATAAACTTGGATCTTTTATAATTTTCAAGTTCTTCATTTCTACCACGTTTTGGTGTCATCCATCTTCTACCCTTCTTCCATTATCCATTGTCTTCCATTATCCTATTGCTGCCAATTTTAGTTTGTTTTTGTACAGAACACTTTTTTCTCAGCTTCTATTTTCATTAAAATAAAACACAAAAAATTGGGACACTTACACAGCTACTTAGAATGGTTTCGAATGTCCTAGTGGTCGTACGTTCACCAATTTGATCATTTATTTACAAGGTTAATAGTAAGGAAGTGATTGAGTTTGAATCCTAATTGTCTGAGACAGCTCAGCGGAATTTAACAAAAAAAAGAGGAAAGAAAAATCCAAGTTAGATCGCATGTCAGGAAAGGTTGGGCCGGTGTTTAAGTCTATATCCTTTTAAATTGCTCAGTAACATAATATTGGTTCTTGTTTGATGCTCGTAACTGAATTTAGGTCGCCAGCTCTATTTTCCCTTACAAGGCTTTAGCACATACAAAAGATACTTTACTAGACTCACTTTCAATTTTCAACTTTATGGCTATAGAGCAAAACACTTCTCCACCCCCTGGTTCTAACCAGCACTCAGCAGTAACCTCATGCCAGACTCTCCTCAAACAGTCTCCCGCTACGTCCACGGGTGTTTATTGGATCGATCCTGATGGTGGCTCCCAGGCCAACGCTTTCAAAGCTTACTGTGACATGGATACAAATGCAGGAGGCTGGACATTAGTATGGAGCTATTCCTTTACTAACTACACTCATTTTAACGATGATTCAAATGCAATCACTCCTAGGCCAAATTGGCCGGCCAAAAATGAAGTGAATGTTCCTATCTCTACAATTTCTCCATTAAATGAAACAGACTACAACGCCATGAACTTCTCACTCTGGAAAAAACTCGGTAGACAGTTCCTCATCAAGAGCAACATAAACAACTGGCTGTTGTGTCAACCGGTAACTGGCAGCCTGGTTGATTGGCAGAAAGGTGACGTCAACTGTACTATCACAAAATACGTGGCTGACCCTGGAGAATCAGCTTCGGCGCCTTCCAAGTTTTCACCATATATCGACCATGGACCAATGTTCCATTCGAGTGGGCGCTGGGACAGCAGCTTTTATTATTTTAATGGTTACACGGGCAAATATTGGCCTACCCATGATCCTTGTGGAAGAAATGGGCCCAACCAAAAGAAAAATGTTCTTGATCCACACGGTAACATTTTTATTCGAGCCGAGTAGCAAAGACAGACAATGACAAACCTTTACACACGTATCTTCTAGAGTTGGTTAACTTATCTGCACAAAATCATTACATTACCTTGAAAACGTGTGACGAGAATCATCTGGAGGACTTTGAGGGTATTAAACTGATAGAACTCTAAATTCTTCTATCGTAATTACTGAGAAAACCCCATTAGAGGGGAGAATTTCGGATCAGATCTTGGAGGCTGAAGGTTCAAGCTTGTTTCACTCTCGTAAGATGACAACAGGCAAAGCACCAGTTACACTCATCATGAGAGGTCGGGGGATTATCTTTCAGAATTTTACTTTCCAATGGAATTTTAGGTAATTCAAATCACTTCGCGAAACTTTGACTTGATTAGGTGCTAGTTTCTTCTTTATTGTTGTACAACAAAATTTAAGCTCTCAATGTTTTTAATAATGACTACTTTTACCGCTGATGTTTACAAAACTCGTACCAACCACTAAACCAGATAGTGCAATCAGCTAGAGCAATTTTTAGAATAAAATGAATAAATAAGATTCACTTAAGGAAGCCTGGATCAATTACCCCATTAAATAATTGTCGCCACGGTTTTTTTTCATATTTCCATGGAAAGGCCAGGAGTAATGAGTAATGAATAACGGGTTGAGTAATGAGCATTAATCAATAGTAAAAACATATAACGAAGTTTGAAAATGGTGTTCTGCGTGGAAACTTAGTTTGCCTTTTAGGCTAACTACCTTCGAAATGCTAATAAAAACAACTTGTATTTCATGTTAAGACCATAGTGTTTGCTATTACTTATTCTGCATTTATAAACCGTAATTGATATATTTCAGGAGCTTTCCAAAAGCACTTTGAGTTTTTTTCGGCAATTGAGTACAGCCACCTGACCAAATAAATTCTCGTTAGATTTCTTAATTACGAGTGTTTTTGCCTTTTATGATTGTTTTTCTCAGACTCGTTCCTTAAAAAGGGTAAATTAAAGCTGATTTTTACTTTATTTCAAGGTTTTGAATCATGCATTCTGAACTTCTGAACACTCATTCTTATTTCAACCAATGACAGCGTGCGTTATATCCGAACTTTATTATAATAAGTATTAACAAATAAAACAGAGCATAAAATCCTTTTAGGTTGTACTCGAATGCACTACGATTATTTTTGTTTGACAAAAACTCGATAAAATCATGAAGATCTGTTCCCAATGTTACTTTTCCCATTGACGATGGCTTTAAAATTTGTAAGTGACTTCTCTTCAAAGCCGTGCAATGTATTAAGTAACAATCCAACAGGGTCCTCCTACTTTGCTTGTTCTTCGGTATGCTATTATATCATTTTAGTTTCCTTTCTTGCAGATCTTTCCTTGAGACATATTTGCTCTCATATGGGCTTTTTCGGTAAGACATAAGATATCTGCAGAAGAAGATCAGGGCATGTTCTTTCGCATATAAGAAAACGTTTTTCTTGATGATGAAAATGCTTTTCAACGTGAAAAGGCTGACTTTATATTGACCTGTGCTCGAATGTGTAGGAGAGAAGCTGCTTGTAAAGAAGCAAATTTTAATCGAAAGTGAATACCTACTTTTTTTTTCAAATAAATGTACAAATTTAAGTGTAGCTTGCAAACTATGAATATGAGTGAAAGTTCCTTATTCACGCGAAAGGCTGCCTGTTTTTGGCTCACTTAATAAGTTGCCTTTCAAGGAGTCTCTAGTCCACAAGGTATGTGATTTTTTTTACAGCAAATTTGTCCTCGCACAAAGCTCAGTTCATGGTGGCTCACACTGAATTTCGTCATTTTTAAGTCACCAACTCCTCAAATGAATGATACTGCCACACCTTTTGGCGTGCTCGGTAGAATGTGTTTTCAAAAAATACCTATTCCGTCTCTAAATGTCACATTTAACACAACAGCCATACAAAAACAACTTTTTTTAGGTTTATGTGCCTGTAACTTAAAGCAGAGGTCGATAACTATATTCTTTGATCATAGGAAAGAACACGCCAGCACCCCGTGGATTAACCCAGCATTCAGCAGTCCCATCGTGCAAGACTCTCCTTGACCAATCTCTCCCTCCCTCCACAGGTATTTATTGGATTAACCCTGAAGGTGTGTCTCAGTCCAACGCTCTCAAGGTTTATTGTGACATGGAAGACCAGTG